ATAGTTCATGTTACAAAAAGACTTCATGATCATGCCTTAGACCAGGAGTGGGCAAACTTTTTGGCCCGAGGGCCACATCTGGGTATGGAAATTGTATAGTGGGCCATGAATGCTCATGAAATTGGGGGTTGCGGTAAGGGAGGGGGTGAGGGCTCCAGCTGGGGGAACGGGGTGGGGACAGAAATGAGGAGTTCAGGGTGTGGGAGGGGGCTCTGGGTTGGGGGTTGGGGTGCAGGGGGGGTACGGGCTCCGGGGTGGGGCTGGGGATGAGGGGTTGGGGATGCTGGAGGGTGCTCCAGGCTGGGACTGAAGGGTTCAGAGGGTAGGAGGGGGATCAGGGCTGGGGCAGGAGGTTGGGGCACGGGAGGAGGTCAGGGGTGCAGGCTCCAGGTGGCACTTATCTCAAGCAGCTCCCGGAAGCAGCGGCATGTCCTCCCTCCAGCTCCTACATGGAGGTACGGCCAGGCAGCTCTGCACATGCTTCCCAGAGCCGTGCAGAGCCACAGCACACACGGAGTGGGGCAAGCCCTCAACCCTGCTACCCGGCGGGAGTGCTGGAGTGGGGCAAGCCCTGGACCCTGCTCCCTGGCGAGAGCTCGAGGGCCAGATTAAAATGTCTGAAGGGCCGGATGCGGTCCCCGGGTCATAGTTTGCCCACCCCTACCCTAGACTGACATTACTAAACTGATTTTACTGTTGAATGGGACTAAGGTTCCAGATATTAGTGCTTTTGCTCACTCTGCCACTTTGCCTTACTTTCATTTCATAAATATTGTATACTTTGTATTTAAGACCTTATCCAACTTCCACTGAAAGCAGTGGGAGCCAGATTGGATCCTTACACAGCTCTTTCTCATCTGAGGATCTCAAAGTGCTTTACCAATTAATTATGCCTTCCAACACTCCATCTCAAAAGGAATGTTAGACATGTTTAAATACATAAAGGATACAAACTACCAACAACACCACTGAAATAACAGCTACATTCACGACAGATTTAATCACTGATGATAATCATGTAATCAAGATATAACTAAAACATAGAATTCAATTTTATAACAAAATTATTACATTTGAAAGTTGAATTAAAATAATCTATCCTATACAATATTTGCAAAAACAAAAATATGCAAATACAGATCTATTTTTAGATTTTACAATAAATATAGAAGGAATTCTACAGTGCTACACAAAACACATACAGTGTTGTAAAGTATCAAAAATATCACCCCAATACAATAGTCATTCATTCATTAATAGTATTGGACCCAGCCCCGAAACATTTTGCTCACATGTGAAGGGCCTTTTCCTCTAATATCTTATGGATTTCGATATAATTGTAATGTTAGTAAGAACTATTTGTGTGAGTAAGGGTCAAATGATGTGTTTCAATATCTTTCATTAATCAAGGAGCAAATAGTATGTATGGTTTATCATACTACAATGCGTACGGATTATAAAATAAAAAGTATAAACATATAAGTGATCAATTAACACAAAGAATTGAGTATTTAGACCCCAATTCAGGAAAGCACGTAAACACCTGCTTAAGTTGACTTCAACACGATTTAAGTATGTACTTAAGTTTTTTCCATAGTAGGAATGGTGTCCTGAATTTGGGCTTTAATTACTTTCAGTTAAATGATGTGAATAAATTAGAAAATAATTTTTAAATTAAGAGTCAAGTTATGCCCTTGGTTATGCATATGAGACTCCCAAAGATTTCAATGGGTTTTCATTGTACCAACATTTTAGGCAGACTTTGGATCTAAATATTTTCCCAACATCTCATTTAGGTGCCATACTGAAATGCATTTTTAATTCCTCTATCTTCTATAGAACTATCTTTAGTACATCAGCCTGTAATGAATACAAATTGCTAGGTGGGTATGGCCTTGAAATGAGGAATGGGGAAAATGTTGGGAAGCAGGAGTATATAAATAAAAGAGAACATATCCCTTTCCCAAATCCAAAGTCATATTCCTGCTCATCCTTTATAGAAAATATATTTCCTGATTTTAAGCTTGGAAGTTTTGCAAAAGGAAAACACTTAAGGAAATATTTTGCCTATCCGATTCACTAGTCCTTTGGGTAATCAAGATTATATTTCATTGTGGGGAGTCTTTGTATTGGAACCATCCTCTTTCAGTAAAGGTTTAAAACCAAACAAATTTAAAACGTTGGGCCAGATTCTGCTCAGTTACACTAGAATAACTCCACAAACTTTAATGAGGTTTCACTGGTGTATGCGAAAAGTCAGAATCTAGCTCAGTGTCCACTTGCTGCTCTCTGCACCATAGAACACCGTGGGCATGGTGTTTAGCATTTTGCTGTAGGAAATTATTTCTCTGTAAGTACCTCTAATAATGAGATCTAGCATGTTAGGAATCCAAGTGACTTTACAAGCACTTCTTATTTGCTCCCCTTTGATTGATTTTACTAGTATATCCTCTATATTTTAACCATAATCTAAACTAATGAGATCAAACAATTTTAATGAAAACATGACATTTCTCAGCTATTGATTTATGCCTGTTTAAATCACACTAAATAACACAATCAGAAGAGCTATAGTCTTTAGCCAAAGCTTTTACATACTCAGGAAAGCTATATCAGACCTATCCTAAAAATTACTCAACCAGAATGCACTAAAAATGTCTTATAAGGAAGTAATGAGGCTATTCTTCCTCTATTGCAGTGCAAGTCTGTTTTCAAAATCAGTTGATAACAACCAAGGTGGTGAGTAGGTTTCAATTCTGCCACTCAGTGTACGTGTGGCAGAATCAAAACACTATTGTTTTCATGGAGAAAACATGCAATAGAATTTGTTTTAAAAATGAATGTAATACTTATGAAAGTGACTACTGATATTAACCAGAATTTAGGATTGGGTTGGCAATTATTGTTTAAACTTCTTTATACAGCTTTGCCAAAGCACCTTGTCTTTTTTCCACTCCTAGAGTTCTTTTAAGTAGAGACTGCTACTCATGCAACTGTGTAACCCAATTCATTTTTGTCTGCAACCTTTAATAGATTTTGAACCCTGTTCTCCAGAGATGAAAAGCTAATACACTATCCCACTGCAGCATCTAGACTCCTGAAACAATTTCATGTCTCACTGTTTAATTATAGTCCTAATCAGAGATGTGTGCAGGAAGTGTTTGGGTTGGAATCTGGATTAAGTATATGGGTCAAAATCCTGGCTTCTTTGTCAATGACAAAAGTCCCATTGATTTCAGTGGAGCCAGGATTTCACCCATGGTATAGTTCAAGATTTGGGTTCAAGGCTAGGATTTACAATGATGCCAAAACCTTGAACACTGTCCTCTCATGATTTAGGTGGTGGAAATATCACAGAATCAGCCTGAGGAAGAAATAAAAATGAAGCTATTTTTTGCAGGATTCTGATCAAATCTAAATTGGAAAATAGGCTCTTAACTGGAATCAAAGATGAAGGGGTGAATTTTATCACCAAGACTTTGAAGGGATTTGGATTTAAAGTTTCACTTTTGGACTAACTTTAATTCTAGTTCTTACCTTTGCATATGCTATCTTTCAAATATGAAGCTGGATCATGGTCATGCTTACATGGGCATGCAGTGGGGGAAAGAATAAGGACTCACCTACGTTGCATTACCTGGATAAGGGTCATCCAGAATCACGAGCTGTTCTCAAGTTGTTCACCTATGTTACTTGGAGCAACTAGTGATGGGGAGTTGGTATACCATGGCTCTGCCCCACAACGTGCCAGCTAACTCTGCTGGTCAGCCACACACAAGGAGGGAAAGAATATGCTGCACAGCTCAAAGGGATCTAACAATTCACTTCCGCTACAGCAATTGGGAATTCTGAGAAGAAGCCTGTAACAGGCTGTGCCTAACAAGCAGAATTTAGCTCATAATTAAATCTGTTGGAGAACAAATTTCAAACATACTTTTGAATAAGAACATGAACTATGTAGGTTAGACGTTTAACCCTGGAGTGCATCTCTTGATGGTTCTCTATGTGAACACAGATATCTTACAAAATAGCCTGAATACTTTCCAAAAATTATAATAGTAAACCATTGGCACCATCATAACCAGTCAGAACACCAAGCACTTGGCTAAATCTTGTTCTCAAAAATACTTATGAAATTCCACTCTTTTTTGGCAGAGAAATGCACTTAACCCACTTACAGCTCTAGGCTTCACCTAGTTTTGAAAATGTGGCTTTGGCATGGACATGTGACAAGCTGAAGTTCTGGAAAGAAAATTACTGTGACCAGCAGAAGGTTAGTGGAGGCAGAAGGGTTTTGGAAACAAACAAAGGGTGTGAATGTTGGCCTTTAAAAAGATGCTTTAACAGTAGAGATGATCCAGAGAGAAGACAGAGAAGTCTGAAGAGGAACCTGAGAAAAAGAACCTTGAATACTTGGAAGAGAGAGAGAAACCTAATCCCGGGAAACAGCCAACCAACATGATTAAAAGTCTGATTTATTTGTATTTGATTTTATGACAAGGTTTACAGTAATAGTATAGTTGACTTCACTGGAGCTTTAACAAGTTACATCAGGTGAAGATCTGCCCTTATATCTGTAATTAGAAAGTTTTTTATGTATGATGATGGATAATTTCTTAATAAGACTACTGAATTTTATTTTGTAACTGTCTAAGCAAGAATATTCTTAAATCTTTACCACACATCTCTGATTAAATTTAATCTTTGGCTAAATTAGTATAAGAAAGACAATAATGTGTTTATATAAGAGCAAACAAGAGTACCATTGAGCCTCATAAAGCTGTCTCAGTGAATGTTAGCAACAATGTCATCTGTTAAATAGTACAAAAGTAGTAGAAATTACATTTGTTCAGACAGAGCTACCCAGCAAACTGACCCATATTTATCAAGCCTGACCTATGGTCATCACTGGACAAGATCTAGACATCTACAGTAAGTGTCTGCCTATGTTTGGTTACTGCTATCTTGTGACTCTTATTCTGACCAACAAATCTGTCTTAGTCTCCGCCTATCTCATAGCTAGACCCCCGCCTCCCTGAAGGCCAAAGTAGTAGGTTGTTAGCTTTGGCTGAAAGGGACAGTGTAAAGCTACAATAAATGACTCTACAACAGCAAGGAATATTAACGTAGGCTCTTACACAATACCGACTGAAGTCAATGGAAAGGCTACCATTGACTTCAGTGAGTGTTGGAGTAGGCTCTTAAGCTTCTTTCTTTTGGGAAGAACAATTTTCCACTAGTTTGCTCAATAATTAATTTTCTTTTTGGTGTACTATGTGTCTGCGTCAGGTGAAGGCTTTTTGTGTGTGTATGTTCAACATTAGGCTCTTTTCCACCTAATAAAGATTTTCTTCCCAAAATAGTGACAGCCTTTATGCATTAAAAATGGTGGTAACTTGTCTTAAGAAGCACAACAAGCAAATCTGATTGTATAGCACATGGAGTAGCCCTTTCAAAGAACTTGGGATACCTGTGAAGATTATGGTGTGTGAAATGTTTTGCCTGCCACTTTTTTCTGCCGCTGTTCATTTCTGCAAGGAACCAGTGCAGAAGCTTACAACACAGTTTATTTTTAGATAATTCTTGATAAAAAAGTGGACTTCAGAACATTACAAAAGCAAGTATCTTTAGAAACAAGTTTAATTATGATTCTTAATCAATTCAATGTAAATTACTTCACCTATAGTCATACGCTAAAGCTATTTTTCCTACTGAGAATTGTTCTCCAAATTACATATATGTATTTTAGAATAGATCCCTGCAACTTTTCCCTTCAAATACAAAATCACTGCAGACAGCCTTTGCAAGAATAGGTTCTGAAAATTCATTCTAATTATAGTCCCTCAACACTGTGGACTAATTCTGAAAGCTATGGAATTTACATAGCCCACAGCCACAATACTTAATTATTTCCTTAGACATGGAGCACACATTGCCATGCACTTTTGGAAAGCAGTTACTGCACATGCATGCACAAGCACTGTAACTGATTCCCCAAGATCTGTGCATTGTATACAGGAGGTGAGCCATCAGAATGCAGCATTTCTGAAATGCATTTTATGTCACACCAGATTAATTGTGCAGAAGAGTTCGCCAGTAGATTGCAGTCAGCTTGAAACAAATAAAGATAATTTGCTGATGACATTTTTTCACTGTTCTTCTGGAATCATTTGTTTACTGACAGCCAAAGCAATTCCTCCCTTCTGGGAAAAAATAAAAGAGAATTTCAGTAAAACTTGCAATCAAATTAAAAGATTTTTTTTTCAGAACAGGAATATTAAATATGATAATGTTTTAAAAAATTATAGAGGCAGTTCCTTTAAGGTCTGATGTAAGTTATGAAATCTAATTTTGTTTTCATAGCTCTGCGATAAAATTTTATCAATGTTATAAAAAGGGTCTTTACTAAGAATGACCGGAAATCTGAACTACCTGGTCATGCAATAAAAACACATTCCTCTACTGCAAAGTGTCAGACAAGCAAAGTTTAGTTGAAAATTGATCGATAAGTCTTCCTTTTACACTTGAGTGCACTCACTTTTTCTTCATAGGATAATAGGTTTTTTTAATGGCTTTTCCATTAACATCAGACTTTACTGTTGGCAAGAAAAAGGCAGACATAAAAAAAAAATAGAGACAGAAACAGTCAAGAAAAGCTTTAGTGATCTTTAATGATATGGTGCTACAACTTAGAGATGGGTTTTGTTGTTGTTGTTTTTAAACAAGCGACAACTTAAAAACTCTGGGCTTCTTCCAGCAGTGCAAAGTGGCAGTAAAAATCAGCTATCTGGGTTTTTTCCTTATGCTGGGGGAATCCCTGCATGCCATAGAGGCTATGCTCTGTGACATGAACTGTATTTCCTGTACTGGGTCCAGGGTAATAGCAGGAGGAGACTCCATGTTTCTAAAACTAAACTAGATCTTTATTAAAAGAACTGTTTACCGAGATGCTGTAATTGCAGGTAGAATTCTAACCACGTACCCATAGACTGATCTCTTGGCCTCCTCTACACTATTCTCTCCTGAAACCTGGGTTCCTCCCTTCAAGTTCAATGCAGGTTGTGTATAGTTGGACAGCTGTTTTTTTAATTTGTGGGGCGGAGAAAGCAAAAACAAAACGTTTTGCTGAGTTTCTCAAAAATTTGCTGAGCAAAAAGATGCTTAATTTTGAGAACTCAAATAATTTTGGCAAATTTGATTGTCTTTTCCCCCAAATTACACAATAGTCTCCTTTTTTTTAATTCAGAACACTACCATTGCCTATGGCAAAAGTCTGCAAAAGTGCACAGGTGAATAACTGCTTCTTCATCCTTCTGGCAAAATGATGAAGAGCCCGATAAATCTGCTGAGCTTGGTTTGCATGCTCAGCTCTGTCTGTGAGTTTGACGCTGTGTCACTTAACTGTTATATTAGGTGCTTACTGTTCTCTTTGAATATTATTGTAAGCAGGAATGAAGCTAGGATTTTTGAGGACAAGAACTTCATTGGTGTCCCCGGCTTACCTATATGTGACATCACCAGCCAAAACAGCAGCAGTCCAGTGTGCTTATAGACAGATGTCAAATGAATCAAAACTGTGAGACCATATAATTTAATCCCTGATTTATGAAAGAGGAAATGTGTGTACTAAGGGACTGATTTATTATTATAAAACATTCAGTCCTCTGTCTTGGGACATCACTGCAATTTGTTTGGTATGCTGGGCTAGGCAAAAGTGGGTGCTAATCTGCATTAATAGCTCTGCCCTCAGTCACTCCAAAATGCATGCCAGAGAAGTGCCTCCCCTTTTTACTGATTTTAATTTCCTTCTATTCTAGGCTTACCTTTCCCCTAAATTGGTCACAGTTTTATGCAAAAGACTGAAAGGTAACATTGAAAGGTTGCCTTTCTCCTGCATATTCAGTTGAAATATTTAGTTTATTAAAATTCATAATCTCCTTCACATTAGTAAGATTTTTTTTTAATCTTTGCTTCAACATTTTTCCATACAATAGCTTACCTGTGAATATAAGACTGCCTGGTACTTATCTCATGACTGGAAGGATTTTATAGCTTTCAAGAATACAGCATTACTTGTGGCTAACGTTCTTTTATAAAAACAAAATAACTTTATTTATTTAGTTCTTTTAGGAGAGCAATAAAAGATTGATTTATAAGCACATACTATTGTGCGTATTGGGGAGTATAAGGGATCCCTCACCGTACTATAGGATATTTACATCACTAAAGTGATTATAAAGCTTCCCTAAAGGCACAACAATCCTGGCTCCAATTCACTCCTTCCTGTTTCCTCCTTCTCTGGCATATAGTTTGCAATAGGCAGGAATGGGTATGTCTGGTGATCCCTGGCCAGCGTTATTGCCCATATGAACCTTTACAAGCCAGTGCAAGTTAAGCGTGCCAGTGCTGAACTGGCTCCTGGAAGTCCGGGGGATAAGGGAAATACAACCGGGGCTTTAGACTACCTTTGCCCCCTCTCCTCAGGTGTGCCAACCAGAAGCTCTTATGCAGCTTAGGAGCCGGACCAGAGAAGTCTCCTTAGTATCTTATTGCTTATATGTTAACTTGGCTGAAGGCAGTAGAATAAGACTGCTTTAAAAGACACATGGAAAAATAAAATGAAAAAAGGAAAGGAAAAGAAACAGAACCATTTTGAGGGAAAGAGGCTTAAGTTGCCTAACATTTTGGGTGGACAAATACACATATTTCCATGAAACCCATTAATCTCCCTCCCCATATTATTACATATAATGCAAATTCAAGTTGAAGTTCTAATAATAATGAACCCCAGAAAGGAGACCCACAGAGAGCGAACCATCTAAATGGTTGTTATACAGTAGTTACAAGCAATAATTTCTGTTCCACTAAGTTTATCAAACTGGATCTGAATAGAAACAAACACTTCCTTATAAAATAAGAATCCAAACAAAATTTTACTAAAAACTCAAAGTGAGGGTAGACTTTTTGGAGATTCTAAAAAGTCAGCTATTTTTTTTAACTTTAAAAACAATCATATGCCTCTTCACTACCTTGTTTTGGTCAAAGGGTTTAAGGTATATCTAATACATCCAAAAAAGACAAGGGTGGTAGGTGATGGGATACAAAGCACTTCATCAACAGGTGTCTGGTTCAAAACTGGCTAAAGTCAAAGCAATTAATCTCACCAGATGGGGATGTGGTGACTTATATGAAATGAGTTGTTTGTCTCACTCCAGTTGCTAAATGACAGTATCTATATACAAAAATACCATCAACACAATTATTACTAAATGGCACCCTTGTTAGCCTTAGCAGAGATTCCATGAATTGAATTGACATAGACTGAACTAATCCCGCCCCAACCCCAGCACACACCCTCTTTCTCCATATTATTTATTTAGGGCCTAATCCAAAACCCACTGAAATTACCAGAAAGATCCCCAAGACCTTGGATTGTAAACTCTTTGGGACGTGGACTGTTCTGTCACTGTGACTACATATGTACAATGCAGCTCCTATCTCATCTGAGCAATTATTGTAATACAATTCCTTCAACTCAGTAATAATGATAAGATATTTTAAGATTTAGGATGGAAACACATGGCACTTCTATTTCACCCTATAGAATTTGGGAATTTGGACTGCATTGTATGGTACTGTATGTGGCATCAGTGACAGACTGAAATATGTTTGTTTCGGCTGTGCCAAACATGGGGTATACTTAACAGAGCTGGTCAAAATTTTTAAAATGTCAAATTTTTGATACCCCTCTGAATATTTCGAAGATTTTCATCAAAAATTTTCATGTTTTTTGATCAGCTCCAATATCTAATATTCACACTGGTATTAATTGTTAAAGCAAATTTGGTACTATATCTTTTATTGTTGTTCTGTTCTACGTTCTGACTGCAGTTGCTGCTGCCATCATTTCCAATTGTCCAGTAGTCCCGTGCCCTGCTGAGTTGGAATTATAGCCAGCAGCAACACCTCCTAGTCATTACTATTGGGAATTGATGTCTCAGAAATGATTTACTCATCCCAGGAAGAGACAAGTAATCTAGTGGGACTATCAGCAATTTATATAAATAAATAACATACTTGAAAACAGTAAAGATGTGGGGAAAGGCGAATAATAAATCACAGAAAGAGAAGGGAGGTGGAAATCTGAAAAGAAAGAGTTGTTCCAATAAAAAGCATATTTAGATACTTCATTGCTAAAATCCACTGCAATTGTAGGGGCTGTTCCTTTAAACTGACATTTCATAGTATAATGTTCCGCATTTTTTGTATGTACCTAGGACAGTTGGCAGCAGTCAAGAGGTTAAACCTTATTCATTATTTCTTAAGTAATTTAAGTCTTCATTCATCTTTCAAAAGATCTTTATCAAGTCTTTGAAAGAAAAGATAAGTAAAAATTCTAACTGACATCTCCTTAGTGTTATACCCTTTTTCCTGTAGGTGTGGTCACTCTAGCTTTTTCATTCTTTGATCTTTGAAGAAGAAACTATATATGTCTTTTAAATCTTTTCCAGTCACCTAATATAGTATTTTGACCAATTTCAGAGCTTAATAATGATGAATAAGGGCAAGATTATTGCTGAAAGGAACAGTGTCGAGTTCTATTTCTTTCTTACAGCAAATAACTTGGAACCAATTTGCCCTTTCGCAAAAGGTTTTTTCTTGTATTTTTAATGACATTTGAAATTAACATTAATTGTGTGCTATGTTAACATGCTACTGGCTTTTCCAATGCTCACCAATTTTGCTTGAGGTGTTGCACCAATTATTCATACCATAGTTGTACACAAACAGACATCCTGGTCAACAGCCATCAATACTAGAGACATAAAACTCATGACTGACACCCCAAAAGCACAGACCACCCCCTGGCAGAAACTGAAGAAAAACTTGAGCATGTCTGAGATATATTCAAACTACGGCAAGAGAGTAGCTTCCAGGCACACAGGTCTGGTTTGTAAAGTGGTCACCACTTTTGTTCAGTCAGCGTGTGATGATGTTTTCCTTTTTCCTAACTGCATAATAGACATAGACATTACAGCCGCCATTTCACCTATCATCATAATATTTTTACCAGCTCATGCCACTTGTTGGTAATACACTTAGACCTTGATTTGGCAAAGCACTTAAGCACATCTTAGCTAGGACTACTCACAGACTCAATATAAATATGCATAAGTGCTTTCCTGGATCCGTGCCTTAATTAGTATGGGGCAAAACACCCCACTTCTCCAAGCCCAAATACCAGAACTTGGTGCCGGGGAGTTCAACAGGGTTGGGTTGAAACAATCTTCATCCAAGCATTGATGTAGTGTAAGGAGACCTGTGGCATTCCTACGACTTATGCTCTAAGACTGCAGTAGCCTTTGGAGCTGCTTTGCCTTATCTCCACCAGGTGCTGCAGAGGTTGATCTACATGGCAGTTGTTCTACAGTAACTCCTCACTTAACATTGTAGTTACGTTCCTAAAAAATGTGACTTTAAGCAAAACGATGTTAAGTGAATCCAATTTCCCCATAAAAATTAATGTAAATGAGGGGGTTAGGTTCCAGGGAATTTTTTTTCACCAGACAAAAGACTATATTATATATAGAGAGAGATATACACACACATACACGCACAAGTATCAGAGGGGTAGCCGTGTTAGTCTGAATCTGTAAAAAGCAACAGAGGGTCCTGTGGCACCTTTAAGACTAACAGAAGTATTGGGAGCATAAGCTTTTGTGGGTAAGAACCTCACTTCTTCTT